AGAAGATTTGTAGCTCAGGTGGATGATTTTGATGGATTTTTGTTCTCTGACCAAACCATACAGCTCAGAGAACAAAAATTCATCAAAATAAGTTCAATATTGTTTCTGATAGATATTGTCTGTTGCCACGGGAACTTTCTTTCATTGACCCATTTCATATTATTGAACGATAGTTTATTTATAAAGCTAGCCCATATTTACTTACAAGTTAAAATTAAAATAATAAAAAAAACTTCATTTAGATATTACACTTATAATCATCATTCATTACTTTAATATTACATTGACTTTCAGATAATTATTTGATACAATACCTATTCTAAAAATAATAACAAATGAAGTGGTCGACAAACCTTTTATTTTTTCTTCTTTACAACATGTAATGTAAACATTCAGTTGTGAAGTTTACTTCTTCCCAGGTGTTTGGTGCGTAGTATTTCCGTTCAACTTCACGGTAGTTGTAGGTGTAGTCGTCGTCATTCCAACTGTAGTTGAATTTGTATTATGTGGAGTAACAGTTACTGTTGGGCTGGAGGTATTTCTAAGATGTTTTATAACATGGTTATGACTATGTAAATGAATAATTATGACTCTTGCTGTTGAATTATTTCTATTTATAGTATGATTATGATGTAAAGTGATTGTAGTATTAGGAGTAACAGCTAAATGTGGTCGACCTATTATCACTCGTCTATTTGGTATACTCAATAATTCACATACGAAATATTTTGTTTCAGTACAATAATGTACACCCCATTTACCACTAGCGTAATCTATTGATAGACAAGCTATATCATTTGCTTTTAAATTTTCTAATACAGGACTATGATGATGTAGAAAACGTAAAGTTACAGGTGTATGATCTGTCCACGTTTGTATTACATGTCTATGTTGACCATTGAATTCATGCACAATTAATTTGATTAATCCACCAATCCAAAATTGTCTTGCTTCTGTGGATAAAACCCAACCCATTATTACATGTATCATAGATGAGCTATGAATTGATACTAAATCACCGTACAGAATATTTCTTGATTGATTGGGATGCTTAGTATTCAATGTTGTATTTATATAGTCATTTAAAGAAATATTATGTTTTGTAGCATTCTGAATTAATGTCTCATTAATAAGTTGGATATTTCCAGACAACTTTTGACAAAATCTCATTGCATCAAAATGACTAAGACGTGCATCATTACCGTCATGAACATACACAAGTGTTAAATATGAGCTAACATGTTTTACTGATATTTTCCAACTACTTGTAAGTAGTAAATTCCAAACTGTCAAAAGAATGAGTGGTCTAATTCGTGAAAACGTTTTCATTGCATAAAATATTCTATCCTTTTTCAAAGTACACATGTATTTATATAATAGCTAACCAATTAATTATAGAGTACATTGTAATCTATAAATAAGGTTGATTATTCAATGTTTACTTGTAGAATAATTCTCATTTAGACAGAATTAGTGCATTCAATTATTGATCTGTACACCGAATATCATATTTTCGTACTCAGTTTACTATTTCCATACATACCATCTTTTTCATATTCACTATGGTTTGTTTAAACACAATAAGTCATTGCACTTGAAAGCCTATTGAGAAATGATTACTTTTCAAAGTAATATTCGTGTAAACTACAACAATTTTCATGTTGAAGTTTTACATCACCAACTGCCTTGAGTTAGGTGACCATTGAAAAGCAGCAAGATTTGAACAGTTGTTCTGTCTCATTTCAAGAAACGTAATAAATTGGCATCCACAACCGAAATTGGACCAATTATTCCAAAGGTTAAGCGCTTAGGGCCTGATTGGTTTAGGTTTTATCCCCAGTGACTTGCAGAGAAGTGCTTCCGGGGACCGCTATCACGAGGAAATACAGCTGTCTAAGATTCACTGGTTTACATCGGCCATCTGGTAGTAACACGTGTAGCACTAATGACAAATTCCAGAGTAGAAAAAACTACCTGCCCTGTTCATCATAATTTTGAATGGCTCACCTGTTGAGATCAGTCTATTATGAAAATCTACACAACATTTCCTGAATGATTTGTAGATTTATGTAGTGAAAAATTGATCAAATACACTCAAATTATACAATAGTTGAGTGTTCGCAAATGTTAGAAGTGAATGGTATAATATGAATTTGATGAAAAATTTATCAATACAGATATAAGCAAAGATAAATAGTGGCTAGTAGTAAAATCCAGGACGCACGTTTCATCCTATCCGGGACTCGTCAGCTGGGTGTACCTGCATCCGAGTTGCTGTTTACTCCGGGACTCGAACCCAGTGCTGTTCGCTTCAAACTCCATCGCTTTATTCACTTGGTATTGCTTTACTTGTATCTTCCCATTGTTATTTAGGAGTGTAATTGATCAGTCTCTTGTTGACATATGTGCATCCTTTGCAGATTGCCTCGACATAACCTTAAATCACAAGCTTTTTAAGCAATGACTTAAGGCTGTACTGAAACAATACGCGCAAGATGCACATATGCCAACATGAGACTGATCAATTGCAGTCCTAAATAACAATGGGAAGATACAAGTAAAGCAACACCAAGTGAATTTCATGCAGATATAAGTTTATTTATTTTAAGACCGGTTATACTCAGTTTTTCAAGTCCCAAGTAAACTGAACCCCATAAACTTGCAACATTTTATTATTGATTACAATTTAATTATTGTCTTCGTCATGGATTGTAATGAAGTTTCAGATCACCTCAATGATTGGCCAACTGTCGAATCTTACTGAACATTACAGACTTTATCATTTTTCATAAAAATCATATACTTAATTGCAGTGAAAAATGATGCTTGCATTGTATCCTTTCATTTAAATTGATTGAATATTCTAAAATTTAGGTTTAAAGTAGAGAATATTTCATACATACAAGTGAAGTGTTTGTGATTAAGAGAATATAATTATTCCGCTTACATTATCAACAAGTACATATGTTTGCGATCCATTTTTATGTATAAGGAATTCAGCGTTAATGTATCGCACCTAACATTTTTTCTATTCAAAAAGGATTTATTCTGTTTGCTTACATAACATGTTTCAGTATGCATGCATTAATCAAATCAAAGTGTTTAAACAACCACAACAGTGTAACCATTCCACCTGATAAATATCTGGAATACTCAGCAAATTAATTTATTAAAACGATTTAATATAAACTGTTAGATCTAGAGCTTTGATTTCTTTCTAGACCTGGTACTACTTGAGCATTGGAATGCTAGAACCCTACAATTCGCAAGTGAGAACATAGAATACGAGTGATAAGGAATGCTATTCCAAACAGTGTCAAATATATTACAAAACTCTTAGGTATTCATAGTTTTTAGTGAAAGCCAAATCATCATTACAGCCACCCAATACGTGTGTAGTGAGTTTTAGCTTTTGTTCAATAGGGAAGCTACATGTCATGATTCTGAAATGTACCCTGAAAAGATTATTAGATGGAATGTCTCAGGCTCTTTCTGAGTTTCTTTGAGTTCACTCGTTGGTCGTCCTTACATAAACTATATGGAAATGTTGACCTATTCGACCAATGTTTACATAGGGTCTATTCTTTTACTTATTAATTTTACTAAATGTTTCAGAAGCATTGCTTTAGTATAGTTGAAAAACCAAGTGAGCAATATTGAGTACCAGTTAGAGATAGTAAATCGATTGATGAGACTGTTATTGTTCATCAATGTTGACTGATGTCAGTTGGAAGAAAGGTGAAATTGAACAGGAATCGAAGACCAGTGTTGGTGAGTGATCAATACTACATCGGTTGATAGCATGCCGATAATCACCTGCAGATGTTGGATAACGGTGTTGCTGATGAATTATTAATTAAATTTCCTAGAAAAACCCTGTTTTTATTCTACGAATACATTCCATACTTCGGAACCATGTCCATCAACTTCAGCCTATCTTATATTTATTAGTACTACTGTTATTTTAATTACATTCTCTATTTTATGACGTCAATTTTTTTTAACTTCCCGTGGTAATATGGTTGCGGCAACTTAAAATGACGCTTGCTTATTCCGGATACTAGGCACTTTATGTCTAACTGACTGACTGGGTTCAATAACTGAGAATATAATGAAACCACATGTTGTGTTATATGACTTATACCTCTATAAAACGTTATAAAATCGTCAATCAGGATATCGAATTTTATTACACTGCCTCCGTGTTAAGCCGATGACACGCTAACCAGCACTAGCAGTCTTAAGTCGCTTAAAATCTTTATATAGTATATAGCAATTTCTCGCCTTCTCCTCCTCGTTGAATCCTGAACACGGTATTAGCCTCCGCTGTATGAATAATATAGTTTATATACAAACAGACCAGACTGCATCATACCATGAAATGAAAAATAACAATCATGCATGATCAACCGCCGACTGCATATACAAATTTTCATGTGCCTGCAAAACAGTCACATTGGTAAAACACATCCTAAAGTGTCTCAGTTCATTGGGATTAGAAGCATTTAGAAGTGTTATTGCAAAGCATCTGTATGGCACAGGACATTAGTATGAATAGTGGAGATCTTCCAGGATCATCAATTGACAGTCGAATTCCCTTTTTCTTGAATTCACCAAATCCACTAACATGAGACGATTCAAGCTGAGCTTATACGTCGAAAAGGAAGCAATTACAACACTTTCCTTACCATGGTGACATAATCGTCAGTTGATTACATCATTCTTGTAATTATTTCGCTCTTATTTGGATTGGATCACTTTGTGCTATATATATAGTTAGACACTAATACCGTTAAATAGCGACTCAGTGATCTAGAGGTTAAGTGTTCGCGCACGAAACTGAAAGTTCTAAGTCCGATTCCCGTATGCGGAGTCATGGATGCGCAGTTCTAAGTGTCTCATATTAGGGAAAAAACAGATGCCCAGTGCTTTCAGGTTTTCAATGATAGTATAACTTTGATCGGTTCTATGATTCAATGCAAGTCAACAACCTCCATAACCTCTTACTGACGTATATATTTATACATTTAGTGAAGTATTATATACTCCTTTTGTACATCTAAATTTATTTATTTAGACTATTCATCATTTTAGAATTTGAATCTACACACTGATAAAATTTCATTCTGATATTTCTTTGACTCTTCGATTGGTGCGTTATTCAAATTCAATAGTGGATTGTTTTGATTCCTGTCATTTATTGTAGATGATCTAAAATGCAATAAATCAAAATGTGGTAAATAATGGTATTCAATAAGTGTTAATTCTATGACTAAACAGTGATAAAAACACTTATTTAAACATTCATACTTTCATTATTGTTATGGGTAGTTTGAATCTTCTCATTGATGTTTACGACTGCAATTGATCAGTTTCTTTTGGCACATGTACATACTGTGCGGATTGACACGATATTGCGTTGAATTACAAGCGTTATTAGGAGAGATGGATGGTGGCTAGCAGTAGGATCCAGGACGCGTATTTCGTTCTATTTGAAACTTGTTATCTGGATTTACTTGCATCTTGATTAATTGCGGTCCTAAACATCATTAGGAAGTGTAGATTAACCAATACAACAATGAATCGAACTTCACCCTAATCCACAAGCTAGTGGCTATCCGGACTCAGTAGCTAAGTGGATAACGTGATTGTGTTTGAAGTTAACGGTATTGGATTCGAGTCCTGGAGTGGACATCTACTCTGGGATGCAGTTACATTCAATTGACGAGTCCCAACTAGGAAGAAACGTGCATCCTAGATTCCACTGTTAACCATATTCCATCTATGCTTTATTCAGTTTGACATTAAAATGCATTTAATTGATCTATTATAGCATATACGGTGGTGATGATGCTGATGTCCAAATAATTAGTTTGAGCAAACTTCAGTAATATGGAAACATAGTTAATGTGTTATAAGGACTCAAAGACATTTTACCATTATGGATGACAATACAAAAAATACTCGACAGGAATACGATTTATATTCTCTGGTATGAAGTATGTTCACCTTTTTGTTTTAAAAATAACTAATACTATTTTCTAGGTTGTAAGCAACTAGCGAAAATCCACGAAATAAATGCTTTTACATACTTCTATAATCGTTATTCTTATTCAACGCAAACTTTTATACTTATCTGATCAAGTTTAATAGGGGGTTTTTACAACCGGACTAGTCGTATTACACTAGGGATACTATAGAGGGAGACTTAAAACTCGTAACAGAAACATTGATGAACAGAAGTTATTCATAGAAGTCTATAAACCGTTGGCAACAATATAACAAAATCTACCATATTTTTGGAAATTAAAAACAGATCTATATTATTCTAGCGTTCAGAGGTGACTTGAATTGTCTCATGTTGAGATGAAGACTTAAATCAGCTTTCAGTAGGACATTTTATTCAGCCTAACTCATTACTATCGAAAAGTCATCATCTATGTTTCACCAAAATTCCAAACAGTATGGAAACGATTGTCACATCTTGCCATGTCTACCAATTTACATGTATATTTTGAAACACAAGCATAGAGAGGAGCAATCGTGATCTCTAATTAGGGTTACTAAGCACGTACCTAAATGGCTACAAAAATAAATGAACTTCAATAATCATAGACAAGTATCTTCCTCCACTGTAGAACATTTATTTGAGACAGGTCATATGTTTTATATCAAAACAGCTTTCGTAGTGTTAAACAGGAGTGTCCAAGGGTGTATATTATGGTTTATTGAAGCCTTGGCTATGCAGAAACTAAAACTTGCTTCATGTGTTAGAAACCAACTTGTTCTTGCCTTTAATCTATCCTGGTAATATTATTTTATTATCCAGAGTGATGAATTTCACATAGTTTTTTACATTGTTCTCAACAAGTATATGTATATTCAGATTGTTCGAAGTGTATTACGTAACTAGATCACATAACTCTTATAACCTTCGCCTTCTCATCGCATTATATAAACGTGTCCGATAGTCTGAATATTGTAACAAAATAATATTCACGTAATAGATCATACTACAATAAATCTAACAATAGTGCAGTTCTCAAAACATTGTGAAACACAACAACCAGTTGTAATGAATAATTTGTAGTCCATAAGGATTCAATAAATCAATTAATCACATTGCAAACTAATATGTACCGAATTCTGCTTACAAAAATTTTAAAACCCCACCTCAATTACAACTGTATTTGTAATAAGTTTTAAAGTCATAGATCTAGGTACTTTGTAAAGACAATGAAGAAAATTGACAAACACTGAACAGGTAAGACACATCAGTAGTATATAACCACAACCCTAACGGGGAAAAAACTCAATCCTTTTAAGTTTCGGTGCGAGCTCTTAACCTTTTAGATCAATCCATAATGTTGTCTAAACCCCTATATATAGTTAAAATATTTTTGTTATAAAAGAGTACAACATACATTTCTTCATTTCTCTCATTATCATTATACTCATTTTCCATTGAAAACACCGAATTCAATTCTGGGAAACGTTTGATCCAATCTTGAATATCTTGTTCAACCAGTTTTTTCAGGGAATTTGATTCATCTTCATTTGGTAGTTCATTTACTTGTAAAATATTATCATCCTTTGAAGTTTGATGACATTTTGGATATGACACTAAATGAAAGTTAATTGACAAGAATTCAGAGCTGTTAACTAATTCGCGATCCCTCGTCAATATAAAGATAACTTACAAATAAAGCTAAAAGTTCTAAATTCAATAACTAGAGGATTGCTCCTGGTTGTCCACTGATGAAAATTTAACATATCAGGCAAAGTTTTGTAAGACCACATGTTAAATGCGATACGATTGTATAGCGAACGACCCATCAGTAAACGAGGTGTCATCCACAAAATAGTTTCAAAGTTTTGGAAATAAGCTTTTCAGTTTCATGCTGTAGTCTATAATCTTACATATTATCCTACATATATCGTTGTTTTCAATGTTTTTCAAGTTAATAAATGGACTATGTATATGAAAATGGTAGATATATTAAAAACTGCACAATACCACCCTGTACTAAGCTAGATGTGGAAAAAGGTCGTATATTCGACATTGTGATGAAATTAAAAAAACATTGAAACATCTATTAAGTTATCCAGCCGTTATGCAGTTCGTTGGATAAATCTGAAGCATTCCTCGAAAAAGTCCAGAAGGGCCCTGAAAATGCCGGGAAAAATTTTGTCTAATAAGAGTTGAATAGACGTTTCCCAGAAGCATCCAGAAAGAGAAACGTTATATGTCACGTTTTCGACTAGATGATTACCTATTCTGTTGCTATGATTATTATGGTCCCAGAAGCTTCCAGGAGCTCAAGGCCGTCTGAAATACTATAAATAGTTTCAATATTCTTTGCATAAATTAACCATGGAGTAAAGTGTTCTGTGAATGCTTTCTGTCTTTTCTCTTGTGCCCAAGTTATCGTGTAGAAGATATCAGAATTACAGTGAGCAGTAACAGTAAATATACTGCAATCATTCACTCCCTCAATACATTGATATTCTTTTAATAAACGCTTTTCAATCAAAGAAATTCGCTAATAATTAAAGTATACTTCTACTGTAGACGTTCTGAGAGTTTCTACTCAAAGACTGAAGTATATAGTATGCTAGCTACGAAGCACGAAGTATGTGAGTTCAATCCACTCATGTGGAAGTATGAATGAACATTACTCACAAAATACAAAGTAGAGAAGATTCACTGTTGTTCGCTGTTCTTTGAGTGTTTTATTAGTCCTCCAAATAATATCACTTCATAATGAGAAGTAACTACAAAACATCATATACTGTTATCACTTACATTTTTTTAACGGTACTAACGGCTTGTGCATATTAGATGATGAACTCCATTGACTGAGAATACTATGATCATGTGTTTGATCCAGATTAATTAATAATGTATCAATGTAGTCTGAATTAGACAGACTAGAAGAAACAATATTATCATTAGGCTTATACAATTGATTAACTGAATTGATTAGTGTATGGGAATAATCATTCAAAGTAGATTGATTTAATAATGTTAAGGGTAGATGTTGATTCTGTAATATAAGCAAAAAATAATCAAGATATGATAATAACTAATAATAACTTAAAAATTGTAAGTTGTTTTATGAGTCCTAGAGTAATAGAAGCTGTAACAGCATCGGCAGATACAACTGATTGATCACTGAGTAGCGATCACTGTTATTATGTATGTTAGGTCTTAGTGATGACCAGCTCCTATCAGTCACATTGCAACGTGGCCGCTACTATAAGTGACTTAGCATACCTTGTACTATGTTGAAATTTTAGGTGGCGTCTGTAGGTAGTCGACAGAAAATAATGAATTTAGGTTTCATGTTATTGTTTGATACTCGCTAACAAGATGTACTTGTAATCTTGATAAAATTGATGCCCCACAGCTGATTCAATTTGAACCGTAACGCTGTAAATTGACCCATATGATTCGATCAGCATTAAGAAGGACTGGATAAACACGAAATCAGCCACTACTCAGTGATTAGTCAATTGTCCTGCAAGATGTCAATGCTAACGTCTCCGACGGTAGAACTGGATAACACTGAGTCAAATCCGTCAAGAACCATCAGTTCCCTCAAGATTACAAACACACCTTTCAGACAAGAGCCAAATAATATGAAACCTAGATATCAGAGTTTCTTGTCTAGTACCTTCAATTATCACCTTAGTATTAGAAAAGATCTATGATAGAAAAGAAGAAATGAATTCAAATAATTAAAAAAATAAACTGTTAGATAAGATACAAAGTATGAATGCACCTGTGAAATTGAAACGGATTCTGTTACACAACAATTCCAACTGTTAGTTACAATAATCATACAAATTCCATTCAAACAATCTTTAATTATGGAGGAGGAGGAGGAACGCCTGTTACTACTAATGGAGCATAGGCCGTCGTCCAGCATTCGCCAACCCACTCTGTCCTGGACTTTCTTTTCTACTTCCATCCAATTCTTGTTCATTTTCCTCATGTCTATCTCCATTTCTCGGCGTAATGTGTTCTTTGGTGTTCCTCTTCTTCTCCTTTGGCCTTGAGGATTCCATGTGAGGGCTTGTCTTGTGACGCAGTTGGGTGCTTTCCTCAATGTGTGTCCTATCCACTTCCAGAGCTTCTTACGGATTTCTTCCTCCGCTGAGATCTGCTTTATTCTCTTCCACAGTAGGTTGTTGGTAATAGTGTCCGGCCAAGGGATCCAAAGTATTTTGCGTAGCCAACTGTTAATAAACATCTGTATCTTCTGGATAATGGCTTTCATAGTTCTCCAGGTTTCCGCCCCATACAGTAGAATCAACTAACTATATTGTTTAGTTATTCAGTTCACTTAGTTCAGAAATAATCTGCCTGTTTAACTCAATTGTAATGATAAATTCTAATTCTTAATAGAAAATTCATCAATACCAATAATTGTACTTTACTGTTCAAAAAAATTGAATCCTGACCAGAATGGATATTGAATATTTCAAGCACTTTTTGAAGGTTAATGATTAATTTCAAAAAGTTTGGTTGTTTATTTCTATTTAGATTGTAAATAGAATGAATGTACTTATGATCAATGATGAATAAATAAATGCATGATGATATATGATTGTTATTAAATTATTTCGATTAAATCATGTACTGATCAATGTGTGAGACTATTATCATTGAAATTTATGGCAGTACTGAACTGTTGTTTCATCTTAGTATGAGTTGGTTATTAATGATGGTTTAACAGTTGATCGATTTAAGATTTTATTGAAATTCAATAATCTCTACAACTCCATAGTAAAAATTACTATATGCATACTAGTGAATAGCTTTGAGAGGAAATTTCAAGAGTTCAAATGAAAAACTATGACCGGTGAAGCTAAACTGTGTCAGATGTGAAGAAGTTATACATCGACAACAGTGAAAGATTGTCGCGTAATGTCATCGTTTGATTTAGACTTATTGAGCTAGAGTTTAAAACCGAAGGTCCTAGGTCCTATTCTTGCGTGCGACATCATGGATACGTACTGGGATGAAACGGCTGTCCAGTGCTTCCAGGTTTTAAAAGGTAGTCTAGTCTTGATTGGTTCACGATTTCAATAAAACTCAACAATCTCCATCACTCTATGCTTAGAATTACTATTTAAATATAAGGTTTCAACTTTAAACATTTCTCCTAACGAATCAGTCAAGGTTTTATACATTCATTCTATGACATGTATAATTGATGCTTGTAGAATTGATGCATAAACAATTATTCATACAATAAAAAATAATGTAAAATCCCCAAATGATTTGTGATGAAGTCAATGTAAGTTCAGTATGTTGGTAAATGAGTGTGGTATAACTGTCTACCAAACTTCACAGTTTACAAAAGTATAAGAGGGAACTAATTGAAACTATTTAAAGGAATAAACGACTATCAACATTAACTGTATAATCAAAAACGAAAATTTTCTATCTAACATCAATTTAACCATTTGATTTTTAGTGATGAATAAAATGTTTACAAATAAGTTTAACTTGTGTTTTCTACTAATTACTCACCAACATCATCAAAATAAAACGGTAGATAATGTAAATGAGTTTGCACAAACAGTCTGTAACGCATTCAGTTACAGCTAAGTTGAACTTAAAGGATAAGTATCACGGGCGCTGTTGTAACTCCGCCTGTAGCTCTTCTAAAGTTACTGCCGGTCCCAAGTCTGGGTAAAGGAGGAGGGTTGGGCATGGGGTTAGAGACCCTATCCCGTAGAAAACTATTTCGGTAAAAAAGCGCCAACCAGAAAAAACGCTAACGATAATATTGTGGTGTGTACTTCTGATATTCACAGATGTAAGTAGTATGTATCACCAATCAAAAGTCGAGTGTCTGTTGAAAAAAGGTTCAGCAAATTAAATGGTAGAGAGTGAGACGGAACGAACGAAGTCTATTATTCACTTTTGTTCTGTAAACATCCAAGTTAAGTATATGTTGTGATTTCTTATTTATGGTGTGTTGTAGTCATATAATTCTCGAATCTAATCACAAGAGTTTTCTTAAATAATCTGATGATAGTACATTGTATTTGTCTTTCTAGTGTACAAATCGGTGGTTAGAGAGTAGAAGAACCCTATCTCACTGACACATCTGGTCACTAATTTAAGCGAGGAACAATGTTATTGATCCAAGCACATCATGGCAAGGTCATATCACTATGCAACTACCCTGAAATTGAAACATCTTAATTTTATGGAAATAAATTTATTGTTATTATGATTTAAAAACTTACATTTGAGCACCTATCAGTGTTCATGTTTGATCTTGGTAACGAATGAATAGATTGTGGTAAACGTATCGCTAGCTGATTAGAAGTATCACTGGTTATTGTTGATTCAAGCTTTAAGCCACTTATTGATTCATTATTACAAGTTATTGGAGATCCAATGACCTATAAAACAATCCAAATTATTACTTGGACGTAATTAGAATAATAGGCAGATTTAAAATGTGGTTACTTAGTATCCCATCCATACGTATCGATGACACTCACAAAAAATTAGGAACAAATGATTTTTCCATTTTTAATTAGGTGACTAACTGACATAACTGTAAATTGGGTTAATATAGAGAATACGATTTTACCGATAGAAGGTGATACTTGATCACAAAGCGTTTCTCTACATTCTGAGTAAAATAACATTATCATTTCTCCATATATAATGAAAAACCATTTTAGTTAAAGGGATCTTTGGAGATGTGTTTAATTTGTAGGCCGTATTCTTCACAGACTGATCTCAATTGGGATGCTGTTGATAATTAAGGATCACAGGATACCTTGGAACTGGCCAACAGTGAGCAGCCGCAATTCACAAGTATCTAATACGGGACTTTCAGATCTTGAGTTGAATGTTTTGGACACAAGAATTTGTGGTTTGATGTTTCACGGTGCAACTTTAACTTCAATCAATTAGTAATATAGCGTGACAATCACCGAATGACATTCGTGATACCTACTTCCCTGTACAGTGCTGAGAACTATGGAGATCAATTTGTAATAAAAAACTATTTTTTTTGTATTTCTTACTGACGTCCATCTCTGTTAAAAAGCTACAACAGTCTACCGTAGGTTAGCACAAAATATTCATAAACACTTTTCAACTCGCAACGAACTGAATTCGAAAAAAGGCTCAACCGTTGAATTTTAAACTACAAAAATACATTCCTGGTTACGTTTAATACATTTCGACAGACTGATAGCTTTAAACGTTTAAATTATCCACTGGCGGACATTTCTACTCGAAAATATAATAAGTTTTTGTCTCTCATCACGCTTTCAGATCTTTTTTTACAAAACAGAACCTTAACTCCATTTCTTTGTGTATCTGTTTTTAGCTTTCCCAAGGCTAATGGTATTGTAAGGATGAAAAATTTACAACATTTTCATTTGAATCAAAGACAGTACGTTAAGTTTAAACAATGAAATTGTCATTTAGTGATTAGGAGTTTCAGCTTTAGTCGGATTCAGGGGTTTATAAACCATTTTCTAGTAGTCTAATGTAAAAAAAAGTACTTGAGTAAGCCCATAACATGCCGATATTATAATCATAAATAATAGGAAACATTTTTCAATTGTAGTAGTTCTTCACTATTAAACATGTGGATCAAATGATTTTCGTGTTGATTAACTTCAGTCACTGAACACCAATGTATAGTGAAAATGTTGTTAAGCCAATTAGATTAGTAACTACATCGATCAACTCTAGAGTTAGAATTCGATCAGTACTGATGAATAAGACAAATATAACACTTATTATTTGGTGGTTATTCAGTATAATTAAGTTGATTATTTCATTAGAAGGATTATCGATTCAAATATCCACTTTTATTCATTGAATGAAATTAACCACCAACACCAAAAGATCGACGAATATCATAACAGACTGATTATAATTAGTTTGTAATTTTAAGCTCTACAATAATTTCAGAAGGGGTTTTGTGGATATTATAGTGATTTTAATAGTTGGGATCATGAGTCAATTGAAGCTAGACCACCATGGAAAACTCGGAAGCAGAGGACGGCCTTCTCGTCCTAATGTGGAACTCTTCATCAGTGCGAATCCACGATCCCACCTCGTTAGATTCAAACCCAGGACGTATGCTCACTAGTGACTGACTTCAAGAGGTATTTCTTGGAGTTCTAGTGAGAAGTAGTAACCAGTGAAGTTCAACCAGGTCTTTTGTGAGATAGTAAATCAATGAAGACAATGGTGGATGTGTCCCTTAAATTCGTAGATTAGGTGAAGTTAGACATTAACACCGTCGGATGCCGGCCAGTTCAGTGTTCCAGTGATTCAGCGCTTGCGCGCGAGACTGATAAGTCCTGGGTTCAAATCTCGCGAGGTGTGGTCATGGATGCGCACTGCTGCACTTCTAGGTTTTCTATGGTGGTCTGACTTAAATTGACTCATGATCTCAACAATTAAAATCTTTACATTAATTATTACCTGTGAGGTTGATGACAATCGATTATGTGGTTTTTGTTGTTGTATAGGTAATAATTCTGCATAATTTATATCCATCGGTATTAATTTAGCATAATCCATAGCAAGATTTAAATCAAATTTATCTGTGTATTTCATTTCATATTGATCTAGTGTAACAGGCATATCAAATAAAGGCCAATAATGTTTCGGTGTTGTAAATGTTTTCAATAGCTGATTATAATTATATGTACATGTTATCGGTAGTAGATGTGTAGATTGAATTAGACTACTATTTGATACTGATGGCGTATGATTTGATTTTGTCAATTGCTGATTGCAGAGTAAATCACGTTCTGACCAAACTTGATGATGAAATAATTTAGTTCCACAATCCGATTTCCCAAGGGATTGAATTGAATTTCCAATATTGTATGGATATTTTTCGTTTGTTAAATGTTTTGATACTGAAAATATTTAGTAGGATGAAGAAATAGTTAGACACAAGTGCATTCATCATGCCAATGCCTTGAACAATTATTCATTTGTTATTGAAATATGACTGATTAATATGTCAGATATCTCTTTAAATATTTATTCAGCTCCTAGTAATCTGATCTATGGTTAATGCTAATAAACTTTCTCTAATGTAAATAAACAAATAAAGATGACAAACCGATTAGAAAGTTCTACATTCTGAATAGTTACGTTTACAGTTTGGATCCATTTCATACCTATAATAACACTATGCCATTGGTTCCTTTTATGATTCCATTTTTGTTCCAGTAATAATGGTCGAAATGGTTAACGTATTCAACTATTATATATGTTTGTCCAACATGGTGGCTTAGCAGGTAAATCTTTTATTATTGGGCTGTAGGTTCAGACCGCTCTACTCACATTTATGATAGAAGCCGAGTCGCAATCACGACCTTTTAGCATCAAGTACACAAGTCAGTATTTGGTCTCCAAGTTACTAACTATATATAAACAGCACTTATGAGTTACGGTGCCACTATTCAGAAATTTAGGATTTGGATTTTTAAATAATCATAACTATTGTTATTACAGAATTCAGAATATCATCTAGACAACATTCGAAAATGAGAACGAGTATTGTTGGATCCTGTAAGAAACAAATATGTGAATTTTCTTAACAGAATAATACATTGAGCGAGTCATCAAAATTGCGTATTAAGTCGAAATAAAGTGTAGATGGTCTATAGTAAATAAAGGTAGATCATTTAATTAGGCAGTGAAAACTATGCACCTGTAAACAGATTTCAACTATCCTTCAATATTCAAGATATCTGAGGATTATTGTTGCTATGTGATTTGTCTGTTTCATTTATTTACTCTAGGACAACGGAGTTTTTGTGATGTGCCCTAAAGGCTGAGTCAGGACATAAATCTTGTCAAACATTTACACAACTAAAGTATGGTCACATTTATTGAAGAGAATTATCATGTTGAATATTTGGATACCACTTGGTTGGTGTAACTGAAATTTTACCATGAATTCATCTGCTTGAAACAGAAGTTGGTAGTTATTCAAATATATTTATATTTGATCTTACTGATTGAGTTAGTTTTTATTTCTTTAACAACGTTTTGAAATCTAGTCTACACTGTATAATCTAGCTTTTGGTTCCTTAGAAATAATTTCTAGTTTTAGTCTGTACAGAATATAAGTCGGGACCTTATCTAATCATCAAGAATTAAGATTAGTGAAGAAGTATTTGAGCTTACCAACCAGTTGCTAAGTTTGTCGTGCACAGAACACTAAACCATTGATTTGTAATAGTGTAGAATCACATGCTAATATGTACTCTTTATCTATTCATTAATCATTTTATGAGAACAAATCAGTGTATCTAAAACGTTCATATGATAATCACCTATGACAACCATGTTGATAATTTGATTGTAGTTGTGATCGTAAAGTTATCATAGATAAAATAAAACCCGAAACCGATCGTTTTAGAGGTTTTGCAAATAAACTATTGAACTAATGAACTGTATTCACTACTGAATGACACGTGAGTACTTTTATTCACTCTAACTTATTACGTAACCCATAATTTATAGGACTACCAATTTTCGGAAGTTGTTTTGCGGAGATTTTTAGAAATTTCAATAGTTGAAATCATGAGTCAATTGAACTTAGACCACCATGGAAAACCTGGAAGCACTGGATGGCTGTCTGGTCCTAGTATGGGACTCCAGTTCAGTTCAACCAGGTCTGTTGTGAGATATCAACTCACTGAAGACAATGGTGTACGTTGGCGCAACTTCGTGGATTGGTTGAAGTTAGACATTAACACCGTTAGCTGCCGGCTCAGTGGTCCAGTAGGTTAAGCGTCCGCGCGCGAGACTGATAGGTCCTGGGTTGGAATCTGGGGGGGGGCAGGATCGTGGATGCGCGCTGCTGAGGAGTTCCACAGTAGGACAAAACGGCCGTCCAGTGCTTCCAGGTTTTCCATGATGGTCTAGCTTCAATTGACTCATGATTTCAACTATTGATATTATCAATTTATTTGATTATATTGTAATATCCATGGAAAGAAATTCCAATTATATAGAAGATAAATGTAAGATTATGTAATGGAAAGAAATGAGATACCTGTTTCCTTATCATCAATTATTTTTTGTTTTAATTTTTTTAATCGTTTAATCATTCTTCTATTAATAATAATACTTGATACCATTGAACGAAATTTTTCAATCATATCACATTTATGTAACCATTTTGCCTTAGTAAATTCAACTAATTGAAATTTGGGTTCAACATGAACTTCTGATCCTGTAATGAAAGATTTCTTGAATGGTTCCACTGGACGATATGGACGAAATTCCGATAATATATGATGATCTTTACTCAATTTGAAATTAGCTAATGAAGCTGGTATTGATAGTTGATATTTGCAAGTTTCCAAAACTTCTGGATGTGTACATTTTGTCTTGTTTGTTTTTTTCAAAATAATATAAAATGGTACATACAAGTGAGTTTTCACTGAATACATATTGGTTATACAAACTAAAATAGATCTTAATCTAGTATATATACATTTTACCTTTGAATTCTGTATAGTCATCCATCGTGGTAGATCTGTCAATTTAGTAACTGAATGTTATACTTATTACAATGATTTCATTTATTGAGTAACCCTGGTCAGAGTACTCATCGAAAGTGAACATTTGTCAATAATTGTTCATCTGAAAACTCTCTACTACACTGGCTAAAATGTCGTCGAGATAGGCGGTGCTTGAATATGTGCAATACATATTCATCGACCACTTCCTTCAAAAAGTGCTTTAGTTATGGTGACTTTGATTTTAGTATATCACTAATATAACCAAGTGAGTTATAAATTTCAATGTAAAATATATGAACACCATTAATTTGGATAATGAAAGCTTAAGCGAACTTTGTAGAGAGTGGTGAATAAATTAAGGAGGCTAGTGGGAATATTATCACGAAAAAAACACAAAAAAGAACAGAGTCATAAACCCACTTTACATGTAATACTAATTGGGGTTCAATTAACCGATAATATATTGAATGAGAATTATCTTGACTATTACTACTTACATTCCAGTTCCCATTAATATTTAGAGTAAACTAAGTTATTGAGATAAAAATTATGGGATTCTATAAACATTGTTACAATAGATTATAGTTATTAGAATATAAACGTAAGATGTGCATTTCCCCATTTATCAGCTTAACATAATGTAGACAGAGTATAAGTTGAGATAATGAGACTGGTTTTCAATATATTACAGTGGTTATGTACTTAAAAAGAGGATGTGTTATAACTTGTGGCCTGTATGCCCTGTTAATGTATACGTAATGATACTG